TAGTGTTGAATTTCATGTAAAAAAACCTAAGGACAAACCAGAATAATCAAATAATCTTGAAAAAGAAGAAGAAAGATGAACTCACACTTCCCGATTCAGACACTTTACAGTCATCAAGACAGTGGGCTTCTGGCATAAGAAAAGACATGTAAATCAATAGGGAACGATTGACAGTCCCAAAATAAACTTTTGCCTTTGTGGTCAGCTGATTTTCAATAAGGGTTCTAAAATAAATCAGTGGGGAAACGAATAGTCTTTTTAATCAGTGCTGCTGGGACAACTGAATAGCCACATGCAAAAGAATGAAGTCAGATCCCTTCTTTGCCCCAAACACAAAAGTTAACTCAAAATGGATTACAGACCGGGCGCCTGGGTGGCTCAGTCGTTAAGCGTCTGCCTTCGGCTCAGGTCATGATCCCAGGGTCCTGGGATCGAGTCCCACATCGGGCTCCCTCCTCGGGGGGAAGCCTGCTTCTCCCTCTCCCCTTCCCGCTGCTTGTGTTCCTGCTCTCGCTATCTCTGTCTCTGTCAAATAAATAAATAAAATCTTTAAAAAATGAAAAAAATAAATGGATTACAGACCTAAATGTAAGACAAAACTCTTTTTTTTTTTTTTTATTTGAGAGAGAATGAGAGAGAGAGAGAGCACATGAGAGGGGAGAGGGTCAGAGGGAGAAGCAGACTCCCTGCCGAGCAGGGAGCCCGATGCCGCACTCGATCCCGGGACTCCAGGATCATGACCTGTGCCGAAGGCAGTCGCTTAACCAACTGAGCCACCCAGGCGCCCTGTAAGACAAAACTCTTAGACGAAAACCGTAAGAGTGAGCCTTCACAATCTTGTCTTAGGCAAACCTTCCTTTGCATAACTCCAAACACACAAACAACGATAACAAAATTGATTATTGGACTTCATCGCTTTAAAAGAGTACGACGTTGGTTTTTTTTTTTTTTAGTGTTTATTCTACGTCAGGTACTATTCTAGGTGCTTTATTCATCTAAATTCATTTAGTACTCACAACAACCCTATGGGCAGGTACTATTCTTGTCCCCATTTTACAGAGAAGGAAAGTAAAGCACTGAGAGGTTAAGTAACTTGCCTGAGGCCACACAACGAGTAAGTAAAGGAGATATGATTTGAACCCAGATGGTCGGGCTCCAGGGTCTACACTCTCAGCCAGCGCACGCACCGCCTCACCCAGTACACCTGTCCTTTGACCCAGCACTTCCACGTCTCCGAATCTTCTTTCGAAAACTCTAGCACATGTGCACAAAGATACATCATTCAGATTATTCACCATAGCATGGTGGCAAAAGGGAAAATTGGAAATCACTTAAATGTCCATTAAAAGGCCATTGGTTGGGACGCCTGGGTGGCTCAGTCAGTTGAGCATCTGACTCTTGGTTTCCACTCAGGTCGCGATCTCAGGGTCACGGATCGAGCCCTGAGTCGGGCTCCACGCTCAGCGGGGAGTCTGCTTAGGATTCTCTCTCTCCCTCTCCTTCTGCCCCTCCCCCTGCACTCTCTCTCCCTCTCTCTCTCAAATAAATAAATAAATAAATAAATAAATAAATAAATAAATAGGCATTGGTTAGATAAACCATATGTGGTTTGTTTATACAATGAAATAGAGTTAAAGACCATGAATTTGATCTCTGTTCTGATGTGAGAAGCTATTCATGACAAAAATACCTTGCAAAACTATCTGTGTATCCCGCTTCAGCAACACAAAACGAGATTCATCATCTGTGTGCAAGTGTTATCACTTCTAGGTAATGAGATTAAGGGGAATGGAAGGAAGACTTCAACTTCTTTATATATTTGCATGGTCTTTTAATTCTGATCAAAAACATATCTGCCTTTGATAATTAAAGAAATTTAGTTCTTTTTTTAAAAAGCAAAGAATCTGAAAGGTTAGTCATGAATCTTCCAGCAAGAAGAGTTGTGAGGGGCGCCTGGGTGGCTCAGTTGGTTAAGCATTCGACTCTTGGTTTCAGCTTAGGTTGTGATCTCAGGGTTGTGAGATCGAGTCCCATGTGGGGCTCCACACTCAGCAGGGAGTCTCCTTGAGTTTGTCTCTCTCCCTCTGCCCCTCCCTCGCTCCTTCTCTAAAAAAAAAAAAAAAAGGAATTGTGAATAGACCTTCTCTCCGCAGTGGATCTCATGGCTTCACCTCTTCCCCGATTGCCTCAGACCGCCCAGGACCTTTCATTCTTTTCCCATTGATCTTCCCGCAGCTTCCAAGGGACCTTTCTCACCACACTCTCTCTCACTGGGATACCTTTCCCCACTGAGTCATCTGGTTGCCTCCTTTGCAATCTTCAGGGCTAAGTTCAGGAGTCACTTCCTCTGAGAAGCCCTCCCTAACCCCCGAGGTCAGGATGAAGCCCTTGGGCTCTCCTGCAGACCCCTATGCTTACCACATTCACACAGTTACTCTGAATGGTGATTTGATTTTTTCCCTTGGTTTCTACAATAGAACCCACAGGATCAGGGGCTGTGTTTTCCATTTGTGTTTCTACTGTGCCTGGTACAGAGCTGGTGCCTAATAAATGTTCCTTGAAAGATGGAATGAATGAATGAATGAATGAATGAATCTTTTCAAGGGATAAAATATTAACCCCTTCCTACTCCTATTGTATCATCACTGGAAGGTGAATATGGTTAGGTCCATATGTGAACCCATCTGTTTGTTCTACTCCATCTCAACCCGTGTGTGTGTGTGTGTGTGTGTGTGTGTGTATAAATACATATATAAAATTTAGGGCCCTAGCTTCATGGATGAGCTCAAAAGGGTCCTGTGTTGACTCAAACAAAGCTGTAATCCTCGTCCTTACAGTTTCTGAAGAACACTTGATAAGATTTCTTTTCCATCACATTCTGTGAATTTAAAAAGGGAAGAGAAATCGGAGCCTAAACTATGTTTGGGTTTTTCATTTTTCCCTCTTTTTTGTTTGTTCTTGCTGTTTTGTTTTTGTTTTTGTTTTTTTTTGTGAGAACCTCTGCTTACCCTGAGCTTCTGGACTTTTTACACTCTTTTTCCTTGGAGGGTAAAGTCTTCACGAGTCACACACAGGATGTGGCCTTGCTTTAGGAAACCATTTTTATTAACATGAAGCAACAAAGGAGGAGCAGTCCGGGAAAGAATTATGAGCAGGGATAGAATCCAAAGCAGAAGTGTGAGCTTCCACAGATTTCTTTCAGGAGGATATATGGTTCTTTGATGCGGATAAGAATCCTGCTTCCACTCCTTCCCAGGCAGCTGGGGAGCGGGGAAATTCGGGTAGTGATAAAAGAGCAGCTACTCAGGGACTCTGAACCCTGAGGGAAATGACTTCTTTGCCTCAGCATCTTTGTGTGCAAACTGCATTAATGTCAGAAGTCATAATATTCAGTCCTTCCTGCCAGACACAGCACCTCATGCTTTGCCTACACTTGTTTATTCATTCAAATATTTATTGAGCACCTACTATGTGTCGGCATTCTTCTAGGCCCTGGGGAGGACGTAACAGTGAACAGAATCCCTATGCTTTGGGAGCTTACGTTCGTGGAATCTCCCCACCAACCTCTTGAAATCCACATTATTGTTCCTCCTGCTTGACATATGAAGAAATGGAAGCTGAGTGTTGAAATAAAATCTGCCCCCAGATCACACAGCTAGTAAGTGGTCGAGTTGGGATTCAAATTTAGGTTCGTCGGACTTTCCAGAGCCAATACTTTTCATCACTGGGCTGTGCGGTGTCTCTGCAAAAGGGAATAGAAAAGACAGCCGATAGGGGTGTTTCAAGGCCCAAAGAACTAAAAGCTGGGAAGGTCATCTGGTGCAGAGAGTACCCTGGAAATTTGAGAAAGTGTAAACAAAAGAGCCAAGAACGATTCTCAGCACTCTTGTGGCTTGAGAACAGAGCTAAGGTTGGCTTGGACTCCTTCCCCCCAGTACAGGGCAGAGGCAGCCTATCATTCCATAGAATCATCTAGTTTTGAGGGCCCCAGGTACATGTGTGGGAAATTCACGTGCGTAAGGGACATTACCCTTTCCACCCTTTGGTGTTTGTACAGAAGCCTGAAACAAGAGGAATATACTGATGTTTGCCATGAACAGGTCTAGAAACTATATTCACTGAGGGGGTGAGAGTGTTAACCTCTCTGTTTGCCCTCCCCCGAAATACTTTGCTGTCACACAGGAATTGACTAAGGACCCTCCAGGTAAAAGGGAAACTACCACAGTGCCCAGCACAGAATATGCATGCAGTAGATACTTGGAGAATGAATGACTAAATAATCTCAACTCATAGTCACATAACAAGCGGTCAAAAGGAATCACACTGGACTCAGCACTTCCCAAAGGCCAACAGGATTTTTTCCAAGCACTCAGCTCCCACTGGAAAAATCAGGGCAGGTAAGCACAGCCCCCAGCACCTCCTTTGAAGTGCAAAGACTTGCAGAAAAATGTGGAGCTCCGAGAAGAGCAGATTGTTTTGCTGCCGTTCTTCTTGGGCTACTGAGAAATCAGAATCGTACCGAGGGGCCCTGTGAGGATGACAATCATCAGGATCAAGACATCCCCCTCTACAGAGCCTCACTCAGCCTGAAATAAAGCTATTGACTTACTCCGGTGTCTGCTTTCCAAAACAAGTAACGACTTAAGGTCAGAGGATGGGAAATACTGCTAAGTCATTAAGTTCACTGACTCCCCCAGAGAAAGAACATGACTGGTTTACACATTGATGCCTGTTTCCTCAGCCGCTTAAAACTACACAGGAGCCGGGCTCTTCCCATGGCCCCATCCAATACACACAAGCCCCATTTCATGCACGTCTTGTCCCGTCCTTGTAATCGGGTCCTAGAAAGGCAACGGACTCACTTCTCAGCTGGAACCTTCCAAAAAGGCATAGTAACCTGGATTCCGTTTCCAGACAGAGTGAGGAGGATACAGCTAAGGAAGGGCAGCGTTTTCAAAGCCTCTCCCCGCCTTAGCACGAACTATTTCTAGGTCATCAGTCTGTCCTCCTTGGTTTTGTCTGCCTGTTTCAGCGCCATTCGGCACAGTTGGAGATCCTACTGCATGTCGGGCTGGCTCTGGAAGCCATTTGCCATGCTGACACAACTCTTGCCACAGAGGTTGGAAATTGCCATCTCTTCCGGCCTCTGGGTCTTGGAGCGTCCTGGACTCTTAGGTCTCAAACTGCAGATTTTGAGCTTGGTGTAGAATCTGGGGAACGAGGGACTCGAAAAATAATACACCAGGGGGTCCAGCATGCTGTTCATGTAAGTGAAGCTGAGGGTGACATGGAGGGCTACATGGACCGAGGGGTCACAGGCGCTCGAGGGCACCGTCCAGAGGAAATAGAGTCTGGCCGACACGCTGGGCAGGTAGCACGTGACGAACACAACGGCCACCACCATGATGAACCGGGTAGCCTTCTTCATCCGAGTCTGCCTGGCCAGCTGCCGCCTCTGCTTCAGGCTCCAAACGATCTTGAAGGAGCAAAACAGGATGATGCCGAGGGGCAGGAAGAACTCGAGCTGGAACATGATGTCGTGCCAGCCGTTGGCCGACTCCATGATGAAGCTCTCGCAAGATATGGTCTTCTCATGCACACACAGATGGTTCTCCATCAAAAGATAGAGAGTCCCCAGGATGATCATGGTCCAAAGGGCGCAGACGATGCCAGCCGCAGTCCGGTTGGAGATGGTGTTCACCATGTGGTGGGGGTGGACCACTTTGAAGTACCTGTCCACGGCCACCACTGTGAGGAAGATGATGCTCCCCGCCCTGTTCATGGCCAGCATGAAGAGGGCCACCCGACAGGGAATGTCCTCGAAGGCCCATTGCCTATGTCTCCAGTAGTAGTCTGTCCGGAAGGGCAGGCAGATCATGAGAAGGAAGTCGGCCACAGCTAGGTTAAAAAGGTAAATAGTGCTCGGCTTCCAGGTCTTCATGTGAAAGCAGAAACCACACAGGGCGACACCATTGCCCAGCGCGCCAAGCACAAAGGCCAGGATCAGCAGCGGCGGCATCACCTGGGAGATGGGGTCCCCCTCGATGAGGCAGCACGACCCGTTGTCCATGGTGGACAGAGGATGGGGGGGCGTTCTGCGTGCCGGGTGGCCCCGGGAGTCCCCGCAAAGTCACAGATGCTCCCCTGAATGCTACCCACTCACCTGGCCGCTGGTTTTCTGACTTCTTCACCCCGGGATGCAGGTCCCGACTGCACGTGTGGGTGGACACAGCCACCGCTAGGCGAGCAGGGACTTCAGCCAGGAGATGAGAGACTCCGGGAGGTCCTTTCTCGGCTGGCTGTCCCACGCTACCTGTCTCCCCAGCAGGTGAAGCACGGAGCACGGCCGGGCTGTGACACGAAGGTGGTCATTTCTGGGGTGCGGCAGGCGGGTCCGGTGAGATTCATGCCCTAGAGGTGTCGCTGGGTCCAGCCCTGGAATGGTTTTTCTTTCCAGCCTCACTCTTGCTCTTCAGACTCCTGTGCTGGGGAGCGTGCAAAGCTGCCCAGAAGGCACGAAAAAAGCTTGTTTGTCCTCCCTCCCGGTGGAGAAATACAAACATTTCCTGGAGCCGTTCTGGGCCTCTGCCTTTGCTTTCCTCCCCTAACCTTTTGCCTGACTGCCCCGTTCTCTCCCCATCCCATGGGGCTCTCCCAGGCGGTGCCAGAGGGGGAGGCTTTGCTCCAGAGCTCCTCAGAGCCATTTCCTCTGCCCACACCCCAAAAGACAACACTCAAAACTCAGAAGGGTCTGTGGAGGAAAAAAAGCTCTAAAAACAGCACTTGACGGCTGTTAGAAAAATTCTGTGAGGCACGTCTTCTTTCCTTCCCTCCATTCATACCTCCTGCCCTTTGCATCCTTCCCTGGGCCCAAGTGACCGGTTGCATAACTAGCAAGACCATGCAGTGGATCTGAGGTCACCTCTCATGTGTCTGTCTCCATACAACTGCCTCTTGGGGAGCCAGTTCCTCTCTCTGCTGTTTGCAAAAGAGGCTTTGGCTCTGAGTTTCTCACTGGCTGTTCAAAAAAGCCAAATACCAAATGATAGATATGTTTTTAATTTTAACTACGTGCAGAGCCCATTGGTGGGGCAAGCGAGGGTCGGGCAGTTGGTCAAGGAGTCTATCTCTAAAATAATCACGGGTAAAATTAGACTGCACCCAAGAGCAGAGTCTTTGCTAAAATTTCCTATCCTTTGGCTTTAGAGGTGATCTATCTGCCCTGTGCCTTTCAGCTCCCAGTTCAGGAAAGGGGTACAGGGGCGGGAAATGCGTTGAGAGAATGCATATACTCCTTCTTCCAGAAGCTGATTTTTTTTTTAAGAGTTTATTTATTTATTTATTTGACAGAGAGAGAGAGCACAAGTAGGGGGAGCAGCAGAAGGAAAGGGAGAAGCAGGCTCCCAGCTAAGCAAGAAGCCTGATGCGGGACTCGATCCCAGGACCCCGAGATCATGACCTGAGCTGAAGGCAGACACTTAACTGACAGAGCCACCCAGGCGCCCCTTTTCAGACGCTGATTAAAGCAAAGGTCTTCCCACCGAATCCCGGACTCTAGATCAGCCCAACCACACTCCCCCCACCTCACCATGACTGTTGCCACCTCCCACCTGTGGAAACTATTGAGAGAGTTCCCTGACTGGTTTCCTTTCCTCTAATCTATTCCCTGTAATTTCTCTCCCACACCACCATGTGATTTTTCTAAAGCACAGATGGGATCATACCCTTTTTAAAAAAAAACTTCATTCACTCCCTCCAAGCTGCCACAGTGATTGCTATATGGCCTGTGAGCCAGACTGGGTTCTAAAGCCAGTTGGATTTGGGCCACATGTTTTAAAAACTTAGGACCGTCTTATAAAAACCTGGATTTCCAGACTCTCTTGGAAAACTGGAAGATCTGGCTGCTGTGGGCCAACAATCACACATAGTAACAATCAGCTGGAGCTGAGAGTAGCTGCTCCCCTGAGACAGGGTAAGCATTCTCCATTTTGCCCCAGTCCCCACCACTCCCTATTACCTGGTCAGCTTCACTCATTTACATGCCTGGTCTCTGTGGGATTTTAAGTTTGCCACCTCTGCTCTAGGCTAAAGGTCACATTCCTCAGATTGGTATACAAAGCCCTTCACAGATGGTTCCCCAACTACCTTTCCAATGTCATCCTCCTACTTTTTCTCCTCACACTTTGTTAGTCTCATAACTTCTAATAAATAAGTGTGTCCATCGAACATGTTCACTTAGCTCCCCCACTAATCCAAGAGGTCTTGGGAGATAAAGTCCATGTTCTTGGTGAATACCTTAATATGGTCAGGCTGGATTTTTCAACAAGTGGAAAATATTCTTCATTCTGTGGGAGCAGACACTGTCGAGATTCTTGTAAACATGAGTGTTTCCCTTTTCTCAAATGACTAACACGTGCCTCCTTTTTCCACGTTCTTGCCAAATCACCTTCTCTTTATCTTTGACTACAGAATTCTCTGGAAGGCAGAAGATTAAGGAAGAAAGGTTTCCATTTCCCTGAAAATCTGCTATTGATGATAGGGGAGGCTGTGCGTGTGTGGGGCAGGGGCATATGGGAACTCTCTGTACCTTCCTCTCAATTTTGCTATGAAGCTAAAACCTCTCTAAAAAAAGAAGTAGTCTGGGGTGTCTGGGTGGCTCGGTGGGTTAAGCATCTGTCTTTGGTTCAGGTCATGATCCCAGGGTCCTGGGATTGAGTCTCACATCAGGCTCCCTGCTCAGTGGGAAACCTGCTTCTCCCTCTGGCACTGCCCCCTGCTTGTGCTCTCTCTCTCTGTCAAATAAATAAATAAAATCTTTGAAAAAAATAAAATAAAGAAATAGTCTTAAAAATTTCAGGCCAAATTTTATTACTGATCTTTTTTTACTCCTAGCTACTGATCACAAAGCCTAATGCAAATTGAGGCTTTATTGATTTAAGAATGCATAGTCAATGAACCTATAAGGTGTTTTGCTAGATGCTTTAGGATCCCCCAAATGAGGAAGATATTATTCGCTGTCTGGAGCTGAGTGTTTAGTAGGGAAAATAAGACAACTATGTAAGTAACAATTTTAAGAAGCACATTGAATAAGCAGATTGAGGTAGTATTTTTCAAAATGTAGTAGACACACCACAAATGATATGTGAGGTTATTGTGGACGATCTGGTGTAAAATACATACATATTTTGACTTTGTAGCTACAACTTTACTTTAAAAATCTGTTTCAAAAAAATCCAACTGGTCCACCAGAGTTTTATGAATAAGGGGAATAAGGGAGAGCTGTTAAAATCTGTAGGGGCAGAAATGAAAGGAACAGACATTCCAGACCAAATGAAGAGTGTGGAAGAAGTAAGGAGAGGCATTTGAGGAGTTTGGAATCTGGAGTCCACGTCACAGAACCATGAGGAATAAAACAGTGCACGTTGAGTGGAGCTGTTTTACGGGACATTTTGAACTCAGTGGGAGTGGGGAGCCATTTTGGAGTGAGCGGCATCGTGAAAGATCAGGGGAATGGTTGAAAAAGAGAGAAAGGGGAGCAACAGGCTTTTGTCGTCCCCCTTCTCCTGCCTGCTCTGGAGCCACAGAGCTGCCCACAGTTGCCCCCAGGAATTCTTTAGGCTCAAACCCATGTGTTCCCTCTACTGTGGTCCGTGGTGAGCCACAGAACCGGTATTACTGAGGAACGCGGGCCTCCAGATCACTGAAGCCCACTCCCTTAAGTACCAACACTGAAGAAAAAGGTTTCTCATCCTCTTCCTCAGATTCCACACCAGACAAAGGGAACGCTTAGCACCACCCACGTAGCACAAGCCCTAAGCTTGGTTCCCTCTTCTTCCTCACGAACCACAGTCCCCAATCTGTCAGCATATGCCCTAAATCTCTCTCCACCCACGTTGCTACCACTTCGGCTTGTCCGAGATTCTGGAGGAATGGGACTGTCTCCTGATGGGTCCTCCTGCCTCCTGCCTTGCTCCTCCTCCAATCCATTGTCCAAAATTCAAATCTCATGAGGCTACTCACTTGGCTGAATGCTCCAGCGGCTCTCCTGTTGTCCTTAGCAGGGAATTCAAGATGACCGACAAGGCACGGCAGGAACTGGTCTGGACACCTCCCACAGCAGCGGTACTGTGTTTAGTATCCAAAGGCTGTCTTATAGAAACTTCTGGGGACATCGTTCCTTCCCCCAATCCTGGATAACTCCTCTTTTGTCAGCCTCAGCCTAGACCAGCATCTTCCGATAAAACTTTCTACACTGATGGAAATGCTCTGTAATATACATGTAGCTATTGAGCCCTTGAAATGGGGCTAGTGGAACCTGAATTTTCTTTTTTTTTTTTTT